CCGAAACACAGTTGTCATAACCTTTCCTGTCGACACAACCGTTTTTAACTTCTTTGGTGGCGTAGAACCTTTGTGTGTCCATTGTTTGGACTGTTCTTTGGTTTCAAGAGCATAATTGTCCACCTAGATTTGATCAAAAAGTCCTTCGGATATAAATAGTATATTTAGTCAAAAAAACCATTTTTACATGTCAATACATCTTCACATTTAAAATAGTAAAGTATAGAATTAACATACTGTGATGTGTGTTTATTTAAAACAACAGTTTATTAATTAATATTTTATTTATAACAATACTATTCTAATTTATATATATTTCGAATGTCTCTAAACTGTTCACGATTTATCTTCACTGTCCATATAATAACTGATACAGCGTTATTCTCCACCAATATTTATATACCAATTTAAAATTATGGTGAAGGTTCCAGAACGTTCTCGCCAAAAATTAGAAACACTATCACGTTATATGTGGAATAGACTAGAAATAGTATCCCGTTGACTTTGGAATGTTCGCGAAAGTACCTCCTCCAATTGGACAAGTTGAGCCTCAAAGGCCAAATAAGACAGAGAGGGACTTGGAGGGTTAGAGCATGACTGAATAATGAAATGGCTCACATAACAATACATTTAAAATAAAATAAAAATATAAGTATACAGCACACGTACATGTAAAATGATAACACAATGTCAACTATACAAAACATAATAAAAGAACAAGAAAAAACATCAAATTGTCATCAAGTACTCATGCAGTTTTCTTTTAAATATTGCTGTGTTTGAAGAGCATTTTGTGTACATTTTCTTACCCAATACCACGCGAGGTCAAATTAATATCAGGAAATTTTTTGACCTCTAGTGGTATTACTAGTGAAAATAATATTTCTTTTAATTCATTATAATTAATTAGTTTAAAATTTATAAAAGTTTCAATTTCACTTAGATGAGGTATAATCGGATAATTATTAATAGAAGGTAACTGCTAACTGCTTGCGATATTAGCTGTTGGAATGAAAGATTTCAAAGTTTTCCTTATCTCAGTAGGGTTTTCTTTGTTTAAATTTATTTTAGTTTCCAAGTATTTGCTTTTTTCATGTTTAATTACATTCACTGCTTTTTTTCTATTTATATATTTGCCAGTTTTCCTCCGATTTGTTAGTAATAAATGTTTCATAACTTTTATCTCTCACACTAGTAGCAGCTCTAACCTGATCATTCCACCAGTTATGATAATATGGTAAAATTTTAACTTGTTTTTTTGGTGCCACTTCATTGACAACTTTCAAAATATTATCTAAAAAATCTCTGTATTTTTCATTAATACCATGTATCCAATTGTTGCGAAAACGTGCCAAAAGGTCACGAGAAACACTCAACCGATTCAGTTTTTATTCCGGTGTAAGCAATTGCAGTACCCAATGCATTGCAGTGCACCGAGTATTTTTCATTTCCAATACGCCAGTTTAGTGTGATGTCATTTTGGTTCCACTGACATTTAATTCTAACCAAACTTAACAAAAACGTCAATTAATTTGACATATACATTTTTACTGTTTTAAGTTTTTATCTAAATATTGTTTGCAGGTCATAAAAAATAGTTTAAAGGTATGTAATTGGTAACTAAACGATTGTATATTTGATGAATGTTATCTACTTACTTTAGGAATATATTTATAAAAGTAAAAAATCGATATAATCTAGGTAAACAAAACGCACTCAAAAAATCTACTGTCACTTTAATTGCTAGTGTAACCATAATTATATCTTCACTAAAATGGCGTATTATTCATTTAAAATTCTATGCACACTGTCGTTTGAGATATTAACTTTTACTTGACGGTCATCTAATACCATACAATGGACTTTTTCAATCATATCTGGGGCATCTACTATGAGGTTCATCATTTGTGCTCATACGATCACGCTTAAATTCGGCATCCCAGTTTTTATTTAACAATTGAAAACGAAGTATCAGATTCCAATAGTGTTGAATCCAGTTCTGCTTTGATTTCGGCTGGTGTTGAGCCTTTTATATGAGAGTACTGCTCTCAACTAAGTTTTTTCCATTGTTTACAAAATCACATGAGACGTTCACTTTGACATACTGTTAAAAACAGACTAATTACCAGATCGCTGTATTAAAATGATTCTACAGAATGGTAAAGAAGATTTCTGCGAATTCGCGTCAACTGTTGAACTAACTGATACCATTGCCAATGAAGCCATAGATCGCATGAACCGCGACAAAAATGTTTTGATCAGGGGTATACCAGAACACTTCGGTGATAATCAGTTAAAAAAAGATTACGATACAGATATGTTAACGTGTGGAATAATTTACATCCAAGACATTATTAGTGCACAATCTGTGAACTGTGAAAAACAAACTTGATAAATTAGTCAATACTTTGTAGTTTAGTAAATAATACTTTTATTTTTTTTTTTTAGACATAATAGAGAGTTATTGTAAGTTCACTTATGGTCAGTCACTATTAGCGCCGCTCTTATTTTGACATTTGAGCATGCGTATATCGTTAACGTTTTAGAACTGACTTTATTAAAGATTGTGCCTGTCCTTAATTGAGGATGTTTAAGGGTAGTAGATAGTGGCGACTTTATAGCTCGCCGACATTCCTATCGCTTTTTTTTTTTAATATCTAATATTGCCATCTAAACTTTCTAAAATGGTAATTTCTAATGCCTGTTCTATATTATGTACTATTATAGACAACAAAAAAGAAAAACTGTAATTTAAAATATTTAAAATGGGGTTAGAAATATGTTAAAGGACTCTAAATGTCAAAACTTCGGGTTTGCACTAAGTCTTATTTTAGCATGGAATTTATTTGCCTCTAATTACGTTATCACTATTAGTGGCTGACGTAATAGAAATTTGCAATATCTCTCTATACTCTGTTTTTAAACTAGGAGGAGCGAATTGAAAAGACGCATTTACACAGGGAAAAGTAACTAGAATTGTTACTAAGAGCGAGTTTCGAAATATAGTCGTGTTCAAAATTTATGAAATAATTATCTTTGTCGGCCTTAGTCGGTGAACGGCCAATGAGCGGTTAAGAAACGAATAAATGTCATAGAAGTAATTTTTTAATTAGTCCCAGACAACGGTCGCAAATTTCACATTATTGTGATCTGAAATGTGTGTCTAAAACGAAATGTCACTGTCAAATTAAAGTCAAGATGGTTGTTGATTGATGTCAGAAATACTTTTTTCTTGCTTTTGAAATCGACTTTTTGAGAATAACTTTTTAAAATGGACATTAAATATTTAAGAAAATTGTTAATGGAATATCCAGATGTAGCCAGGTTAGTATAAAATATAAAGATCTGTTTACATTTTTAAGGATATATTTGTTATAGGTATAAAAAGTAAAAGTTAATCAGTGAATGATAAGTGGATCACACAGTAACTGGTATCTCTTCTATGAGTAATGTGGATATTATGGCTTATTTAGTGTTAACCCATGGTTAATGCGCTAGAGGGCAAATAAAGGCATTCAAAAGTTTACAGGCCTATGAGTCAGAATTTGTTTTGAAAACTGGAACTAACATTTTCATAACACTACATGTCAACATATATTTTTTAAAGTGAACTATTCATACATACCTATGTATTAATTTTAAGTATTTTTAAAATATTTTTTGTGAAAGTAATGTTAACTCATTGTGCCAAATTAAGATTATCCCTAAAGTAGTCGATGGTGTTTTTAATGTTATAACAATTTTGTAAATAGTTTTATTCTATTCTAATAAATAAAATTTGTTTGAATAGTTACATTTTAATCATTTTGGTTAGAAATTCATCAATTTTTGGTTTTAATAAATCAGTAATAAAATTATATTTTTCAAAAATACTTCGGAATTCATCTCTTCATGGTAATCTCCCATCTTTTTATCTTCAAAAACCAATAATGCATTTTCTACAAAACCTTCAGAATCAGCATGTAAAATAATAAGGTGTCTTCCCTTTCTTAAGAAGCAAATTAGAGTATGGATGCCTAATCTGGAATCCTTATTATGAGGCTCATATTCAACATTTAGAAAAAGTTCAGCGTAAATTTGTCAAATATATGGCTTTTAAAATGGATGGAGTGTATCCTACCCGTGGATTCGATCACACTCGGTTAATTCAAAGGTTCAACTTGCCAACTTGCAAGGATAGACGAGTTTATATATCTCTAATTTTTTTGTACAAGTTGGTTAATGGTATGATTGATTGTTCTGATTTATTATACCAACTAAATTTTTATGTTCCCTTAAATACCAGATCCAAAAATCTGTTCTACCTACCCTCAGTAAGTACTAATATCATGCTAAAATCGCCTTTACATATCATGTGCAGGGAACTAAACAAAATTAGTCCACATATTGATATATTCAATCAAACTTTATGTAGTTTTAGTAAGTCAGTGAAAAATATCCTGTATCCTATCGAATGTTCATTTATTTGTAAACTAATATTTTTTTTAATTACTTTGTATATTTTCTTACTATTCTTATCTGAATTGTCTTATTAATGGATGTAATTCTGTTACGACAATAAAGCTTATTATTATTATTATTATTCTTGTAAGGCTTTTTAGGAATTGCTACCTTTAAAAGTATTCAGTGTAGAAGGATCCATAATTGTAGGTTTTCAATACAATTGCTTACTGAAGAACTATTATTTACGAAATAAAGTAAAAAACTAAGTAATGGATGAGATATCAAATTATAAAATGTCAGAACTGTCAACAATATCAATTATTAGCTGATGTTCATGCTAAAAAGTAATGTGTGAAACTGACTGTAATCTGACCAATCAGAAGGCTACAGAATTGCCAACTTAAATTCAAATCGCTCCTCTTAGTTTAAAAACAGAGTATAATAGGCTTGTCTCTGCCCTTATTTATATTTAATAATGATAATAACAATAATCTCTGTATTAGGCCAAGTAGTTACCAAACAATCCTCATAAACAGTTTTCTTCTTTAATTTTGCAGCCATCACAGAACCGCGCCAATTCCTGGTCCAAAGTTTGGCAACGCTGGGTGGATCACAACCAGGCCGTCTGCCTACGTATATCAATAACACGAACGCTCAAACGCAAACTATTCTGCAAGGATATTTGGCCAAGTTCGGAGTCCAACTGGTCTAACTTCTCCGTTACGGGTACCAAACGAATATTTTGTTTCAGACTGAATTGTTTTAACCTTAATTGTTATCCGGGTGTCTTTCAGAGTGGATTTTAGTCGAATACTGTTTGGAATATAACAAAGTTTGAATTGGATGTTCTTAGAATCTAGTTCTGATGATTGGTTACGTTTGTTCAATGTACGCCGCTAATGAATCTGAAAATTAGCTGCCGGGCTGTTAAAAATTAGATTCGGAGAACATAAATCGTTGTTTTGAATTGTCGTTTGTTATTAAAAATCAAATGTGTTATTTTCCGGACGACAACAGAGCTCTGAAAGTAAAACTTGTTATCCAGTATCGATGAGAAGTTTTTTTTATTTAATTGTACGTCTTTGTAGCAGTTAATAATAATCTTATGTCTCAAAATTATTTTTTAATAATAAACTTTACCCAAAATTCGTTGTTTTTATTTATTCACCTTTTTAAGAGTTATATAAGCAACAACGATGTTTCTGAAGAGTTGTGTATATGGTTTCGTTTAATGTTGTCAAATGAGAATGTTTTGACGGTAGCGTTTGATGTTAAAGGTCCTTTTTCAGATTAAGTTTTAGGGACAATCTTAAAAAACCTTGGGATTGGAAAGTCGAATATAATGTTTTGAATTAATGAAAGAATTCGATAGTGTTATAATACTACCAGGGTAGCCGTTTCCCCTGTAAATAGTTGGTAACAAGTTTGTTTGACCTCGACAGTAGCGCGTTATGATGAACTATAATTCGGTACAGTCGGTAAAGTAGAAAACTACTAAGTAAAACGATTTGAAAAACGGCGGGCTTCGAAAATTTATTAAATTGAAGCAATTTCAAGTAACATTTTTCTATTTTACAGCTTTTACTTACAATAATTGAAACAATCAATAAGTAAAATGAATTTTTATTGTAAGTAAATGCTGAAAAACGGAAAATGTCACTTGTTTTAAATGAAAAATAAGAACATTTGTAATAAGTTTATTTTATTTAGAATAGGTAACTATGTCATTACATTATATTAAACATCATATTCACAATAAACACACACAAAATTATTGCAGAGTAAAATGTAAGGTAACAATGTGACAATTATTTTACTATTAACAAAAACTGGGAACAAATTTTAAAAACTTATAATTTCAAAAAAATTAAAAAGGAACAAAACAGTCATATCTATAAATACAATTATTGTTTTCATTTAATATAACAATGTTATATCTACATTCTGATCTTAATTTTACTTACTAAGCTAATCAATTTTTCCTGATCAATTCAATTTTAATATAATAATATATGTAAAATTAAAAGATTGTTTTATGTCCGATTTACAAAAACTTTAAATTATTTATTCTAAATCTCTGTAAAAGTTTATCAGGCAACTAAATTTTAATGAATGTTCATGCAACCCACTTAGTCAAGCATTTTTTTTCTGACCCCTTAATCCATTAATGTTCTCAATCTCTATTGAGTTGCCTAAACATATACGAAGACCAGTTGTTTTGAAATTTTATTGGTTAGGCAACTCTGGCACTGTACCACTCTTTTATGCTTTTACCCATCTATCTATTTCAGTCCAGCTTAGCTGCAATGCCCATTGCAAAAGACTCCATACCCAGGGATATCTAAAACAAAACAAAATAATAAAGGTGCAGTGTATCTTAAAATTAATAATTAACATAGGTTTATATTGTTTTTTAAATGCTTAGAAATATCTTTAGTTTTTTATAATAAAAGGTACACAAATTTTCTACAATTTCGAAAAACAGACATCTGATTTATGCTCTTGGTAAACGAAGCATGGAAAATTAACATGTTCGTAAAATGTAAAATTAAAGTTTTAACAATGCATTCTATATGTCCATATTTGGGTAGTATTTGATAAATATATTTATAAATAGTACCCAAAAAATTGAACAATTTCTTTTTTAGCATAAATCAAATGCCTTATCATATTCTTTTAAATGTGTAAACCTATGATGAGGTTCTACAATACCTGCTCGTAAATTGCCTGTACACACTTCCCATTTCTTACACGCGGTTTCTCTATTAAAGGTTTCTCGACACATTCAATTTTATCATTAAAAAATTCTACTTTCTTTTAGCTGATGTTATATTTGAAAAAGATAGTTTAATCAAAACATCACTAATTACATTTATTTTTGCAAGTAAATTTGATGAAGGCATTATAAGTTAATGACATCCTTAGAACCTCAGTATATTTTTACAGCTATAAATTACTTAAATCTAAAATAATTCATTAAACTTTACGCGCCTACATTTTCTAAAAACATAATACATATGTCATTTTTTAGTGCAACATAACCTAATTTATTATCAAAGCCAGATTTACACCACTTCTTAATATTCAAATTTAGCTTTAACTTTATATATTTATAATAATTATCCCCGTATTTGATCACATATTGTATTAAAGTGATATTTAAGAGATTGCATTAGTAAAGTTATTGATTTCTTTAATATTTATTCATTTTTTAATTATTATATGGGTGTAAAAAAGGCTTTATATTTAGTGATCACAGCGCGTGAAGCGCGATATAAACTAGAAACAAGGAAACAATTCCCGCCTATTATTCAAACCTTCTGTTTTAGTTTTTCTATGAATACTACAATCTTTTCAAATTGAGGTGCAGCCTTATGGTGTTTGAGGCACCCATAAGAGAAACGATTTAATTTTGACCGAAAGCCGATTAGAGGCATTGAGGAGTTGAATTTATAGGTTTTCTGAAGCATTGACTTTAGACTAAACCACCTAGACTGACCTAGAAGATCTTCCCTGGTTTTTAAAAACCATTTTATACAGCCTTTCTAATACGATCGTGTTACTCGCCAAAAAGTGCAAAGACTTAAAATTCTCTGTAAGAAATGTACCACTAATCTTGATAACTTTAATGATAAGAAACTATTGGAGGAGTTTAAAATTATTTTAAAAAAGATTTGGACATTATATTAAATTAAAAATTCAGGAGATATCTAACAAATTAGAAATTGTTAATACTATATCATCAGTCCAATTCACGGATAAAGTGGCAAGCGAAGCTGCCTACCGTATAAACCCAGCTAAAAATATTTTTATCAGGGGAGTCCCCGAGTCTGAAAACCCCGACGCTAATGACATTCTGAACGCTGTCACTGAAAATATTAAACCAGTAGCACTCTTTCGTGTAGGTAAACCGAATGATAGATATCCACGCATGATCAAAGTAATCTTTACTAACGAATATATGATGCCAAAACTGTTATTCGAAATAAACAAAAGCTTCTAGAAAAAGCTGCAATTAAAAAATTTTCCATCACTGATGATAATACTCCAATTCAAGTTCAATGTCTGAAGGATCTTCGATCAGAATTGGAAACAAGGTAAAACAGTGGAGAGTCAAATATAACAATTAAATATATACAGGGTACTCCGAAAATTGTTAAAAATTTTCGCCAGTAGCACATATGCGAAAGCCCTCAACTGGTCATTTTTTTATTCAAATTTAGACTCTTAAAAGCAAAATTTAATGAACTTCTCTGTGTTGTCCAAATTTTGAAACCCATAATTATTTTTATTACTGAAATCTGGCTTTCTCCTACATATCCTGATAGCATAGTTAATATTTCTTGTTTTACTAGACGAGACAGAACTGGTCGTATAGGAGGAGGTGTATGTATCTACTTGTCCACAGACATTCTTCAGCATTTTTGCATTAGGCTTCTAGAACTTTATATCCCTAACATTGAACCAATCGGCATCCAAATAACTTTAAACAAATTTACCTTAAATCTGACATGTATGTATCGTCCAGAGAACTCTTTGTTAAACGATAATATAGTTCTCATCAAAAAACTTGAGTACCTGTCCTCATTGGACAACCTAGTTGAGACTTCAGTTTTCGAGAAATATCTTAGCCCACTGCAAGGATACCAGATCAAATCACTTCCAAAAATATATTTATGGATTTTGTCCAAAAGTCAAACTTACATCAACTAATAACTAGACCCACTCGTTTTCGAGTTAATAATGAACCATTACCTTGGATTTAGTTTTCACAGATACTAAAAGATCCACAGTTTGAGTCCCCCATATGAATTCCCGACCATGTCGCCATAATGAGTTCAACTTACCGTTACCAAACCCACACGCAAACCACATCATCCTAGAAATCACGGATTTTAATAGAATGAAAGATAAATTAATTCAACTGGATGGGAAGCAAGTATCAAGTTTAGGAAATGATCCAATAAAAAAGTGGGACAATTTTTATATCTTTTTGGAATATAAAAGTATTTACACGCAAATCATTGAAACCATAATACAAATCAATGCCCTGTTGCGTTTGGGACATTATTGTCAACATTAATAAGCAAATTTCTCGTTCGTTTGATTTTTCTTCGTTTTGAAGAATCTTTCGAAGGCCGACCACCTGTGAAACGTTTTGTTCCTAGAATTAAAGTCGTTCTTCGGCTTGTTGTTGTAGGTTGTACATTAATTGTGGCTCTGGATGTGTCTTCTAGGCAAATAACTACCAGCAGTAGCTAAGTAAGAATCCCAAGCCGTGCGAGTCGAAATTTTGTTCAAGCGTTGTATTTTTGGACCGCCCTCGTTTATTACATTTAGGATCTACTCTTTTAAAATTTGTATGATGGCATAGATAAACAATTCTGGAAAAAACCCAGGCAGCACACATTAGTATAACTAACGTATTTTATACGTAATACTCGTTTAATTTTGGTATTGGTTGATTCCGTATACGTTTACAGTTTACGATTATTATACATGCCGTATTTTAAAAGATATATTGTACGTTTTTTGTATACATTCTATGGTGTATAATTGTAAATTTTTCTACGTTTAAATGTAGTTAACAATATATGACTATTTTTAGTTTGCGATGAACTATTTATATACAGTGGGCCTAAATATAAGTTTAGGTTTATTTAAATTAAATTCGTATAAATTTACATATTACAAAATATGTGTTCTTCGTTTATAACTCCCGTTTAAATATCGTTTTGGTTGATTTTTTAAACGTTTACCATCTACCATTTTTATACTTAACGTTTTTTAACAAATAAATTAAACGCTTTTGTTTGTGGATACTAGTTAATATACCTATATTATTCTACGTTTAAATATAAGTCACCTTAAACGCATATTACCAGTTTACGATGAACTAGTAGACATAAGTAAATAATTTGTATATATTTAGGTTTATTTAAATTAAAAGCTTATAGATATATTTATTTACATCACACCATATTTTTTTAATTATATTACCTGTAATATTTATAACAAATTCCCCATTGTACCGATTTCAAACACCCGAATATTTAAATAACCCGCCAATAACCATGGTGAGGTGGACTAGTCCATGTCGTTTCAGTGAGTGAGATTCATGGTGTTTTTTAAGCTAAGTCGGGC